AAGTGGGAGAACTTGCACAATTGGTGGCTGACTAAATACTTTTTTGCCCCACTGTATACAGGATATGCCTCCATGCAACTGTTTTTAAGATTGCAGTCGTCATTACTGTGTTTCTTGGAGGAATTGTTTTTTCATCTTATTTACCTGTAGAAAGTGATAATCAATTTAAACAGAGAAATGGAACTGGTAGAATAAAGGTAAAATACAAAAAACTCAAAAACTTTTATGACCACCAGCACACCGTGTTGTGATATTACACAATTTGATACAATTTGAAATTTAAATGTTTTTATATGAGGAACCCAATCCATGCTAGCACTCATAAAATGTTGTTAAGTCTATAGTGCTTCAGAAAAATGTATAGGTAAGAAAGCAGATCATTTATAGGTATTTTAATGATACAGCAGCATGCATTCATTTATGAATGAATTGCAATTTGTTCCATTTCTATCAAAAGGCATACCCACTAAACATAAGGAAATTGTCACAGTTCCAAAATGAAGTTTCAAAATAAGCCTCACCTAAGATGCTGGCTTCTATACTATCAGTTTTCTCTTTTTCATGTCCTGGACCTGTAATAAAAATAGTTTATAAAGAAACTTAAATCAGACTAATTATTTTGGAAGGGGAGAGAAGAGAATAACAACAGTTTTCCTGCCAATCAAGCATTTTGTTTTAACACTCAGTGAATAAACATTTAGTTATATTTTTAAAAACTGGAGTTAAATTGTGTGCCACTCAAGCTGTGGTGACTATGATCACTGCTCAGTTGTGTGATAAGTTGCAGTAACATGAAGAAATGTCATTACTAGATATAGAACAATAGTTTATGTTTTTGGAAAAGAAAAATTCACAAAATGGACCTAATTTTATCTGGGTTTTATCAACTCCAGTGGAAATACTTTTACCTTAAATTCTTTGGGGACTAAGCTGTCAGGTACTTTATATGATGAACAGAATTTCATTTCCTATCTTCTTGAATAAGGCTTTACTCATATATATTATACACATACTCACAGCATTACACACCACTGCCAAAAGTCTAACCACTATCAGGCATAATAAACATGATATTGATCTGTGTGCAGGCAATGGTAAAACTCCATAATGCATGTGCACATGCACACACACAAGCATTAATAGCTGTAAAGTAACTTAAAAATAAATACCCTGTGACTTGTTTCTCCTCTACCTATATTTACTGCTGACATGTGGACCTTGCAACACCTTCATATTAATGTAGACTCACATGGGCTCACTGATTCTTACTGATCATGCCAGAAAAGGTGGCTATGACAATGTAAACCCCACATGCATTCTGCCAATAATATTCAGGGGCAATGATTTTTTCAAAGAGGTACAGATATCAGGAAGCAGCTATAATCATTGAATTGCCATGTGAGAGGGATGTATGATTATGATACAAGAGTCATTGCCGAATAGATTTAATCATATCAGAGAAAGAACGATGGGTAGCAATTCTTGCTGTGTTTTTATTTTCCCAAAGATTCCAATTCAATTGCTTACTAAGTTTGTACAAAACATAGCCAGCTACTATCACTTTCTTTAAATCAATTACAAACATCTTTCAATTTTCAATTTATTAACTGGTGTTTAAGCATGACATAGCCTGCATATCCTGATAAATACTGAAAAAACCCACCTTAAGGCTGTATCATTTTTATCACAGGTAAGCATTACAAAACTAGATTTAACTTGATTTCATTTAGATCCTTACCAAATTAGATATAACATACATAGGGATCTCAGAAAAATATATAAGAAAAAGCTTTAAGTATGACAGATTAGACAAGGACACAGACAGAACATACAGAAGCACAGTCCCCTAAACATGAATTGCCCATACATGATCACAACTCAGCCATTTCCTGGAATACTAAATGTTGAAGGTTGCTTTCAACATTTGTGCCTTCTTTTAAAAAGCATATTCATTGTACACCAGAATAGTGCCTTTTCTTGGACTAAGTATGGGCAAAATTGTTGGATATGCTAAAGTTTCCAACACTTAAAAGCTATTGGATATCACTGTTTATTCCTGCCAGTCTGTTTCATAGAAATTCCAAATGTAACTATTAATTCTACTCAATATCCAATACAGGTTTTTAGAATACCTCTTTTAAGACTGCTAGTTGCAATATGAAAAGCCCTCCTAAAAATGCTTGTACTGGTATTGTGGGGTATGTGTATGCAAAGTACACACAGGCCACTTCTTATTTCTTATTCTACAAGAAACGGACATGATAAGCGGGGGGGGGGGCAGGGGGGGGAGAGAGAGAGAAGAGAGCCATTAGGGAATTATATGTGTTTCAAATTAAGCTTTCTTTAGGGGTAATATAAAATGAAACTTTGTGGCCCGGTTCAAATAAGGAGGAAATAATAAGGTATTCTTGTTTGCGTTGGCATACATTATTGTGTGAATGCAGCCCGTGTGGTTTGTAATTTATCCTCTTATGATTTGACACTGATCTCAATCTCTTCTTGAAGTGTTAAGCCATGGCTTTTTTAAAAAATCCCACCTTTTTATATATAACTCAAGGCGGCGAGACTTTGCATGACGTGTGAGCCCCGCCACTGTGTCAGGCGTTGGGCTGCCCCGACAGTGTTTTGTTTTGAAGGAAATGCTTTGGGACAGTAAGAGTTTTTCGAGCGCCAAGTAATTATTTTGCCCTGTTTCGGGAAGGGGAACCGCTCCGTCCCGCCATGGCTCACCTCGCAGCGCCCGGCAAGCGATGGCTATCAGGAGCGCCAGCAAGGAAACGGCTGCAAAGCAACAGAGCACCGAACAGGTCCTGCTCGGCCACCTACGCCCCACGGCTTCAGGCCCCTGCAACAACAACCAGTCCGCGAAGGTGAAACCCCTCCTAACCTCTGCCTGACATGCCTAACCAGCCCCCTTCACCATCGCCCTCCTGGAGCCACCGCCCTGCTGGCCATGGAGGACCGAGGCCGTAACTAACCGCAACAATTCCATGACGCGCCGCCATGGCCGTGGAACATTCGCTTTTGGGGGGCAGAAAGGGGGAAAAGTCCCACAAACACCCCTTGAAAACCCTCCCCACTAGAACGGAAGTCTATCGAACCAGAAGCAGCGACAGAACGGAAGCCCCGCTTTGTCTCCAGTGCGCTGCCACTCTAATAGCCACACCCAGAGGTCGGAGTTCCCATGCTGCCCTGTTCCATTTAAGGAAACCCTGCGTAAGCGCGTGGATCGACTCTACCTTCCTTTCGTCGCCACGTTTTTTTTTTCCCGCCTTGTTTTACGCCCAGTGGTAGTACCTCTTGGGCTTCCGTAGCCCCGCCCTTCAACCTCCGCTGCTGGGAGCGAGCTTCTTTCCCAGCGTCCTCTGCGCTACGCGCGTCTCTCCTTCCCCCTCCTCACCTCCCTTCCGGCTCAGGCCCCCCCCCCCCCCCCC